GACATTGACCCCACACATGCGCATATGGTGCTGCTCCAACCTGCACAAGTATTGCTTAGTAATGACATGACATCAGTGGAGGGGTTCACCCTCAGAAACTGTCTCACCTCATCCTGGTGTTGAGCTGAGCTCCTCTTGATATCAGAAGACGACCACTTGGAGATGACCATACTGACTGGCCCATTCCAATGGAGTCCATGGCAACTATGAGAACCAAGACAGCAGTAATCATGATGTGCGGAACTAACAAAAATTAATGCCATTGTTTATTCTTTGCTGTGGTTGAACACGCTTACAGTAGACGTAGAAAGAGGCACGTAGGTGATAAAGGTGGGTTGTGTACTGCTCTGTGCGTGACTTTGGACTCCTCAGTGGTTAAAAGTAACATACCCGTCTCTGCAGTCTCATGTATGAGCTCCACTGTTCGAAGAAGAGAACACAACTCTCATCACATCTCTCCTTCTCTACAAGCAGCATTAAGCTTATTTCTGCTTAGAGCCACAATAACTCTATAATGCGAGTGGACTAAGTAACCTGGTGAAGAAAGCTATCTGTGCCAGTGTTTTTGCACTACGAATTTGCCCGCTTAGGAGTCAGAGTATATATCCATTTCCGTTGCATACCATCTGTGGCATTCCTTGGTAGCTAGTGCACTTGCCTGGGAGACAAGGTTCGAATCCCCCACATTCATTTCTTTCTACCTTTTTCCCTCTCCTTCTCACTCACACACTCATCACACATTCCTTTCAGCCTATCAAACATGAGATCGGGAGCGAGATGTGCAGATTTTTCTGAGTACATGCCAGTGCTTACGTCCTAACTTTTCCTCATGAGAAACATTAATGTACAAACCCTGGACACAAAAGGAATTGCATACTTGTGTAAATGTACTGGGAAATGCACATGCGGAGAAAGCAACACTAATATTATTTGTTCTACCTTCTCTTACAATATATGGAGATGGGTCAGCGTTAGCTGAAAACATTCACTGCAGCGATGTCAGGGCTACTGCTAAAAACACACATGTAACTGTATCACTTGCACTTGCATGCCCAAGGTTCACCTGAGCCTTCGACAAATTGTCACACACAGTAGCTAGCTACCAAACTGTATAAATCCTAACACTATTCTAATGCTCGCAAATTTTCGTTTTGTTGGCGTCCTTCAGTCAAAGTCAGCTGTTTACAGTATATACTTTGACTTTCAGGGCTCAGGTGAACGCAAAGAGACATTAATTACATGAAAATGTATACTTTATTTGCGTACCAATTCATATCTCTGGGCCTGTATAAGGGAAAGTTGACGGCCATCCACAGTCACCTCTGTGAGAAGATGTGTGGTCATGAAGTCTGGAGTGATGGCTGCTAGCACCCAGCCCACTGCACTGGAAGGAAACCTAAACCTAACCACCACACAGTTTCTGGACACTGCTCCAATGTAGACGCTGTGAGAGCAGAGAGTTGACTCCTTGATTATAGCTTTGTTCAGCTTTCGGACTTCGAGCAGAGTGCACTGCGATTCAGGCTTGTCAATCTTCACGACCATTTCAGAGAAACCATTGAGCAGTTCTTCATCTGCTTCATTAGGAATGGCATTGAGGTACACATCTACTGTTGTTGCAGTTTCAAATTCTTCGAGCATTTTGCAATAATCTTTCATGCTTTGTTGAAGTGAAGTGCCGCAGAATTTTAGGACGACGTAATATAGAATCTCGAAGTTACGGTAATCGACAAAACGGCAGAGAATGGCTAGAATTTTTGTACTATTTTTGGAACCCAGAATCTCGTCTTCATTGGCAGTGAAAAACTTTACATGGAGGGTCGCTTTGCGGACAGGCAGGAGTAGAAGCCGACTACGAAACCTTTTAAAAAACATTTCATCTTGCGTTTCTTTTTCACTAAGCTCTGTATCAGCATCTGCGTGTAGGTTGCCAAACATCTCTTCAAGGTTTTCCAAGGAGACTTTGACTTGCTCCAGACTCCAGAATGAAGAGTGATGAGGGGAGGGTGGAGGTGGGACGGGAGGTGAAGAGGATGTGGTGGAGGATGGTGGGGCAGGAGACTCCTCGGAACCAGTGGCTGGTGGAGTGGCTGGTGGAGTGGGGGGAGCAGGAGTAACCTCACTACTCTCACCTTCTGGAGTGGAGGTGAAATCGAACCACTGCATAAAGCTATTGGTTAATGAATGCAATAACGGTTTTGTAGGGAGTGGAGAAGAAGCAGTAGGCTGAGAAGTAAGCACCCCAGCAGGTCGCAAATTTGAGTTGGTCGCTGGCAGCGAGTCCGCTGGCTGGTTGGGAAGATGTTGTTCAGCTCCTTTGTCGTTGAAGTGATGTTTTAATTTTGCCACAAGCTCAGCGTACGCTTTGTCGGTAGAAAAAATTGAGACGAACTCGTCAAACCAGCGTCTCTTCTCATTTGTAATTCGCAATACAGCAAACACGCTGTCCATGAGCTGGCCAGCCTTTTTTGCGGGCGTGGCTCCGGTAACGTCGAGTATTTCTTGTGCCACTCTCCTGGGAATGAACTCTCTCTCCACGAGGCGGTTGGCAAACCATTGTAGATTGCCTCCGACCGTCACCGTGTCAGTGATGGAAGTGAGATTCGTACGAAGCGCTGTGATCTGCGGGGGCTCGCCGCTGTCGGCCATCTTTCAATGGAGGCGCGGCGGGGTCTAAACAAACAAACACTAGAGCCACGCCCACTCGGACTTTGACCTGATCGACACACTAGACTCTGCATGGCGTATCCAGAGCACTTTCGAGGCTGGCTGCTAAAGTGGACCAACTACATCAAGGGCTACCAGAAGAGATGGTTCGTCCTCTCCAATGGACTCCTCTCCTACTACAGGTGGGACTCACACGCACACGAAGCTTTCTGGATGCAGTAGCAACCCTACTTTTGTAGCCTTTTCGGCTGATGTTCACTGTAAATTAGATAGCTCCCATGTAAATGTATTCTCTGTGTTCATATTCTGTTTATTTAATGCATGTTTGCCCTTCCCTCACCAATGTATGTAAACCCAGGGCCCAGGAGGAGATGGCCCACACATGCAGAGGTACAGTCAACTTGAGCGGAGCCTTCATTGACAACATTGACTCCACCAACTTTGTCATCACCAATGGACCTCAGGTAAAACCACTTGAATATAATTATAACGAGATCCACTGATGCTTGTACAAACAGGCTTGGTATGTGAAAATAATGTCACATGCTTGGCACATGCTTTGCCTCATTAAATCTTCTAATTGCCATTTTCCTGCACATATTCTTATTGCTCTTAGTTACCCATAATCACAGAACAGTCATTCTCCACTCGCACTCTTTAGTGAGCAAAATTCATGTGAGATCTGCAGGCCAGTGATGCATACACTCAATGCAATGATTCATGTGTGTATCATGATGTGCAGGTATACTATCTCCGTGCTAGTAGTGAGGTGGAGAGACAGAGATGGGTGACTGCTCTCACTCTCGCCAAAGCCAAGGCCGTCAAAGACCTGGAATCTGGTATATTATTCAACACTCACCAACTAGCCACATACATGCAGTCAACACATTGGCATAATGCATAGAAGTAATTGATGATGAAGAAAGTGTGTAGGTCCATTGATATCGGCAAGTTGTTGCTTCTAAACACATTTTTGGTGGAGAATTATTGCCAGTACTGTTTTTTGAAGCTTGAAATAAAATGCACAACTAATGTCTCCACCTTTACTGTGATCATTCTTTTGTACCATTACGTCATGCAAAAGTGTGTGCCCTCTTCTTGCTGCAGAGAGTGATGGGGAGGGGGAGATGGTGGTGGTGAGAGAGGTGGGAGGAGGAGAGAGAGGGAGAGACGAGGGGATGACACAGCTGAGGAAGAAGATGAAGGAACTGAGTGCAGCCCATGATGTAATCGTCAGGAACAGGTGATTAAAATTGCTACTTTTCTCTTCCCGTACCCTCTTTTCTTCCTTTGTCTTTCCCGCCTTCTCTCCTATCTCTTCTTGAGTTTTTGAGCACACAAGTCAGTTTTTGAGCCTGTTCTCTGCTTCCAAAGGATCACAGTAAACAGTTAGGAACTATTTTTCTCTCTCTGTATTCATGTGTAACCTGTAGTCAGGTGCTACTGAAGCAGATCACGACAGAGGTGGAGGGATCAGGGTCTGGTCATCTGGACCCAACTCTGAAGGAAAACCTCAGTCTATTCCGTCTCATTGCTGACGCCATGGTCAAGGTACGTGGCAAACTACTGCAGTGGAGAGTTACTGTAGTGTCACAATAATGACCCAGTGGAAAACCCAGATAAGTCCATATTCTTGACCAGCTCAACATGGACTTAACATGTTTTTCCTTAAAGAGATAATTTTTTGCATCACTGTAAACACAATCTCTAATATATAAGAGGCAGGTCTTGCTCTGGGTCTCAGCTTTACCATCATCACGTATACCAGAAGCATCCGAAAAGTATATACTCTTTGCACGTTGTGCAGTAGGACATAAGTGTTGTGGTTTAGATCCCTGTGTATCAGTGACGGTATCTGTGTGTTTATTCCTGATCCCCAGGCCTCAGAGGGCTACCTACTGCAGGCCCGGAGTGTGGAGAAGAGATGGCGGAGGGACATGCAGAGCGAGCGCGACCTGAGACTGAGGCTGCAGGAGAACATGGAGACAATGGCCAACCAGATACATGGTCTCGAGAACGACGCCAAGCGCTCCGTGGGTGGTGGTGGGCGGGGCCACCGGTCCGCAAGTCAGGGGTCACGAGAGGTCGTCTTGTCACCCTCTGCTGCCACTGACACTGGTAGAGGTGTGTTTTGATAGCTGAGTATTGTATAATCCTTCCTCCATGTACTGTCGTTCTACCATAAACTAACTTTGGTCAACATTAGTGAGTATATAGATTTCGACTAAGTGTTTTTCCAACAGTTTTGATGCAAACCAACATGTTTTGAGTAGGAGCATAGAATACCACACAAATGCAGGAACACAAATGCAGGAAGTTTTAAGTGGTTGGGGATTCTGTGTTCATGGAAAAATTCCAGTAATCTGTTGCAGTTTCTTGCATGAAATTTAATCTGACTTCAAATGCATGGTTTTGTCTCACAAGGTGAGTCAGTACAAGAGAGAGGCAGAGACACCTGTGTGGGTGGTGAGGAGGGGGAGAGGGGAGGGGAGGGAGAGGAGGAGATGTTCTTTGATGCCCACGAGATATCAGCGGAGGAGTGGGCAAAGGCAACGAGGGCAGAGTTCACGAGCCAGTCCTCTACTGGATCGGGGAGGATTGAGGGACCCATGTCTGGAGCTGATGATAGACCTCCTTTCAATGAGACGTCTATGGAAGATGTGGGTGTATGTAGGTCCCTAATGCTAATGCTTGAAATAAGTACAGCAGCCTATACAGCAGAACACAATGAACTGTTTATAGCAGTAGATATGTTGAATTTAAAGAAAATTTGTCCCAGAGTGTTTGGATAAATTTACAACCGGCGCATTTTAATGGTCACTCATGCAGTATATAATGTCCTCCCCAGAAGTAGGTACTCATCCTTATCTGTTCCTCCCCCAAACCCACCTTCACTGTACCTCCCAGACCTTCTCCAAGGTGCCCCAGAGTTTCCATGACAGGCTGGATGCCACCCTCCCTATCAGACGGACGACCATTCCTCCCAAGCCCAACGTCAGCTTCAATCTCTGGAGTTTTGTCAAGAACAGTGTTGGCAAAGACCTCACCAAACTACCCATGCCTGTGAGTCTCACTCTGCTTCTCTAAAACAGTTACTGTAGTACTTACATTGTACACACATATACCTGGAATAACAGTAAGGGCATAAGAGTGTCAATGAAGGTGACATTACCTCTTTTTAAGTCTACCACAATGTGCATTTATGTACACATTTTATAATTGCACTATTACTTTTTAGCCTCCCTCACATAGGTCCGTTCTCTAATACATCACACATTAATACTCATCTATGCTTTAACTCAAATACTTCTTCCCTCCCGGTGGCTCTTCTCTCTCCCTCTCCTGCCACAGGTAAGTATCAACCAGCCCCTGTCGTTTCTCCAGAGAATGGTCGAGGACCTGGTTTATGCCGACTCACTCTCGGCGGCAGTGGCCGGCGAGGGAACATTAGAGGAGCTGACTCACGTGGCGGCCTTTGCCTGCTCTGTGTACGCCCAGACCTCCTCCAATGCTATCACTAAACCGTTCAACCCTCTGCTGGGAGAGACTTTTGAGTGTGACCGCCGGGCTGAGAGTGGCTGGAGATGCCTTCTGGAACAAGTATATCTTTATTCTCATGTGTACAATGTCGATGGAGCTATCTACTATCGCTCTTTACATGTAGATATAACACCCAGTGTTTAGGCACAATAATATACATGTAGTTGGTCGGGATTCTTGGTTAATGATGCAAGTGCTCACATTGCACATTGAGATATTCACAAAGGGTAGCTACCGGTATGTGTATGTAGATTGGTTTACTACTCCTTCCTCTCGCAGGTAAGTCACCATCCTCCGATGTTTGCGATGCATGTGGAGCACAAGGACTGGACTCTGTGGGAGGAGTACACAGTGGCCTCCAAATTCAGAGGAAAGTATGTCGCCTGCTACCCCATCGGGATAACCCACCTCATCTTCCATCGTAATGGTCAGAGCTGCCTATACTCTTCTAGTCAATGATGCTGCAAGTATTAAGCATGCACTACATATTCTTACATTAGTTGTTTTGTTTCTTCTTCCATTATTGTGCCTACAAAAAATGTGAAATTGTTGACACCTTTATTTAGCGGGGACAGCAAAATTTGGGTGAGATAGGGATAGGAGCAGCGAGATAGCAGATGTTACCATTCCAAACTCCAACAGTTGTCAAAGTATTCAGGATAGTTGGTTTTGTCTCTTCTCCATTCTTGTGCCTACAAAAAATGCGAAATCGGTACGGTAGTGGTAACTTTTTTGGTGTGTAGCTACTGTACATGTAACATCATAATTGTACTGCTTTTGGTTCACAAGGGTTGGAACAACTATTGGTTGCAAAGGTAATGACACTTTTACAAAACTATTGATACACTGTTTTTTTCTTTCAGGGGGAAGGGGAAGTAAGATAAAAACTTTGAGCTGGGGGGGCTACAACTTTTATACACACAGTATAACACAGTATCTAGGCTAGGGCGACAAACTTTTTGAAGCCTTCGTTTTCCTGAGACGTTGTATCATTCATTCCCCTTGTGTTGGGAGTAGATAGATCGCTTCTTGTGGCATTCAACTCCCTTGTCTTAGTGGCCAGTGCACTTTTTACTACTGCAGTAAGCTCAGCTCTCTTAGTAGCCAGTTCAACTCTTGGCTGCATTCAACTCATCAGTCTTAGCAGCCAGAGTGTTTTTGGTAGCGTTCAGTTCGTACGTGTTGGTAGTCAGCTCAGTTTTCAAAATGGCAAACATCGTTCTTTGTAGCATTCAACTCAAATTTAGTAGCAACAGTTCATCTTTTGTAGACCTTAGCTCCACTTTCAGATCTTCATGTCTTTCTTTTTATGCAAGTATGCAAACCTCACGTATTCTTGGTGCTGCTTCTTGAAGGCCTTCAGGTGTCCACCCATGTCTTTTCGTCGCACCATCTCGTTGCAGCCTTCTTCCCAATGCTCACATTGGATAGTTTTCCAGAGGACACTCCCCGAGGTGCTGTTCCATGTCAGCTCTCCTGATCTCTCCAGACCGACACTTATCTTGCAGGACAGAGGATAGTCTGGACACTCTGGTTAGTGACCTCTCTCTGGTGGTTTCTTGGGCTGTTTCACACTCGGTGTGTGCTTGGCAGTGATGGAAACATAGGTGCTGGCTTTCTTGCAGAACTTGCACTCGAATATGCGAAGAGGCAGATTTCTCGTGGCCGGTGTCAGCTCGCTGCGCAGATTCTCCGTCAGCACGTTACGACTTGGTATCGTCATTACATCCTTCGAGGTTGCATGCCACTCCTCTAGTGGGCATTTCTTCCTGTGTGCACCATTCCTCCCCTTAATCTCTTTCCACATCCGTGGGACATCTTGTGCCACGTTCTAAACACTCTTCCAGTGAGCTTCTTTAGACCGTGTATACTTCTCTCCGCAGTACTTACTACCGCTCTCTCTCTGTGGACACGAAGAACTGAGATGCTGAGATAGTTTTCGAGAGCTCGTCTCCACAAACAGTTTGTTTTACTCGAGCGATTGACGCAGTAGATTCTGAGTGGTTTGATCTCACGTTTTAGTTGCTTGTCAAGCATGGTGTGGTACTTTTCTTACGGCAATGTGGACATTCTCTGATGTGACTTCTGTTGCATGCTGGAGACAGGACTTGCAGTAGTGTTGGCCGCAGCAATCAGTGAGCATTGGTTCTCGAAGAACATTCTGACACACCAGACAGTAGTACTTTGGATCTAGTGACTCGTTGACAAAGTCATACTCGTGGCCTCCATATCCGCCTTCTGCCATGGCAGCACGACTCACACATAGAGTTTGCAGCATCAACCGATTATTCAGCAATACAAATTGTTTTGTTACCATGGAGTCAGGTAGGTGTGGTGTAATGAATAACCTCTTATGGTAGTTTGATTATCATTAGTAGAGGATCTACTACCTATGTCAGCAGAGGGTGGCACTTGTTTTCCCATACATTTGCTTCGCTTATTCAATCTTCAAACTCTAATCTTGTAGGCAGCCACTATACGTGGACCAAAGTGGTGACCACTGTTCACAACATCATCATAGGCAACATGTGGATAGATCAGGTCAGGACCACCACCATACTAAGCCTTAGCATGCACACATTACCACTCGTTCTTTGCAGTCAGGTCCAATGAAGGTGACTAACCACAAGACAGGAGAAGAGGCTGTACTCAACTTCCATGCCTATGCCTACTTCACCAGAGAGAGACAGAGAAAGGTTTCACATGCATACTCACATCAACTCAGAGTTGAAAATCTTCCACTTGCAGGTGACTGGTACTGTTAAAGATGGATCTGGAGTTACCCACTATAAGGTGAATCATGCAACTTACACTCTTGCGCCCTCCTTCATAAAATTCTCTGTGACTAGTGGAGCAAAGATGTATATATACGGGGATAGGGATGGTGTCGTGTAGTTTGTGCATATACAGTTTTCTATATCTTTGCTGTGTTCTAACTACCCCTTGTTTCTTCCCTTTTGGAACTTCAAGCAATACCTATATCCCCATTTCCCCCCCACTTTTTCTCCCTGTGTTCTCTTTGTGACTGTTCAGATCCAGGGCTACTGGGATGAGTATCTGGAGGTCACTCATGTGGTGGTGGGAGAGGAGAATAGAGCTACTCCCAGACCTCTATGGAGAGCCATTCCTCACAGGTGCCAGAGTCATTCTGGTGTGTGTCTGTTATTATAGTGGGATGTTACTTTTAGTAAGGAGGGGTAAGTCCCTGGGACTGTCCCTTTCTAATGAATACCTGATCCCTAGGGATGACCTTTCCTGTAGGAATGTTGTATTGTCTTCTATATGCTTCATGGACTCACTGTCCCCCTTATACATGTTTCCAAACCTCTCCAAAAAGGTGAATGTGTATGGAGAAAAGGGGAAGTCTCTGGGACTGCCCCTTTCCTACAATGAACAATTGTGGATTGTGTAATGATATGACATTTGGCTTCTAATGTCTTAAAGAAAAGGGAACAGGTCGACCTGCTATCTTGTCTCCCAGAAAGGAGCTCTCCATGCAGAATGCCCCAATCAATTGTTTTAGCTGCTGACTCTCCCTCACGTTAGGCCAGGGAGCGAGGCAATGTATGGGTTCTCGGAGTTTGCCTGTGGTCTCAACGAGCCAGAAGAGGGCGTGGCACCCACAGACTCTCGGCTCCGACCCGACCAGCGGATCATGGAGAAAGGAGATTTCGACACCGCCAACAACGAGAAGGTACTAAAGAATTGCTCCTCAAGCTCGAGCTCTTTCTCTCTCTTCTTGCAAAATAATAATGACTGTGCCAGAACTTACTTAATAGTTGTTGTTTGCAAAGAGACTCATATCTCTTTCTCTCGTATCAGTTGAGACTGGAGGAGAAGCAGAGGGCCAAGCGTCGAGAGAGGGAAGAGGCAGTCGCCAGAGCAGCTGCAGCGGCGGCTGACGGGGACCACGAGGAGGCAACGAGACTGGAGCGAGTCGCCACCTACTCCCCTCTCTGGTTCAGGAAGGAGTTTGACTCTGTCACCAACTCCATGATGCACATGTACCGCGGGGGCTACTGGGAGGGAAAGAACGGTGGCTGGAGGGGGGCGGAGTTTCCCGACATCTTCTGATACTGCTATAATACAATATTCTGTGCCAGCTCATATTATTATAACATCCATACTTTATAGTATGTCTACTGCTGTGTTTCATTCAGCCCGCCTGATTTCCAATCCATGCCAATGTACTATATTTACTGCTTCTTACTTTCTATCAGCTTGTAACACATGACTGGCCATCATAATTATCTCATTCATTATTATCTCATACATAATTATCACAATAGGTTTTTTCATTCACTTATAGTTTTTACAGGTGTAGCTACTCCAATATTATTTATATACCATGTCAGGAAAAAAACAACTGTTTGTTCATCGGCTATAATTATATATAATGTTACAGCGACTCGCTGCTTTCGCATAGTCATTGTACACGCATGCACGCCAAACACTGTGAAGTATAATTATATTATATAACTATTTTTACTGAAAAGTCATGTAGTATATAATAATATAGTTATATACACATTTGCATAAAGTCCTGTGTCAATGATTCTATTAGGTGCGTGGATATAGATGGGCTATTTAGAGGAATAGGGGGCAAATAGAAAATTATAGGCAAATGCTAACAGTTAGTTCATTTGGACTCTCTCCTTTGACACGCTTGATGCACACATGTGCTCAGAGTATCTAGCTAATGCTGCATTTCCTTGAAGCCCTTCGTTTTAGTCGTGGCTGATCTCTTGTAAACATATCAGCGGTAGCATTCACTTCAACTGTCGTGGCAACTAATCGCCTTCTTGGGGGACTCTGCAGTGCCCTTGTGGCCAATTGACACTACAAAAACGCTTAAGTTTTATGCCATTTTCTGACTCAGTGTATGTTAGTACAAGTGCACAAAAATAAGTGATGTACTGAAAACTCACAAACAGCACAAGTATTCTGGGATTTTCTGCACATCACTTATTTTTGTGCACTTGTACTGACATATATACACTGAGTCAGAAAATGCCATAAAACTTAAGTGTTTTTGTAATGTGACTCCTGGCTGCATTCAGTTCGTCTGTGTTGGTAGCCAATTCGTCTGTCTTGGTAGTCAGCTCAGTTCTCAAAATGGCAACATCGTTCTTTGTAGCATTCAACTCAAACTTAGTAGCAGCAAGTTCATCTTTTGTAGACCTTAGCTCCACTTTCAGATCTTCCATGTCTTTCTTTTTATGCAAGTATGCAAACCTCACGTATTCTTGGTGCTGCTTCTTGAAGGCCTTCATGTGTCCACCCATGTCTTTTCGTCGCACCATCTCGTTGCAGCCTTCTTCCCAATGCTCGCATTGGATCGTTTCCAGAGGACACTCCCCGAGGTGCTGTTCCATGTCAGCTCTCCTGATCTCTCCAGACCGACACTTATTCTTGCAGGACAGAGGATAGTCTGGACACTCTGCGTAGTGGCCTCTCTCTGGTGGTTTCTTGGGCTGTTTCACATCGGTGTGTGCTTGGCCAGTGATGGAAACATAGGTGCTGGCTTTCTTGCAGAACTTGCACTCGAATGTGCGAAATGGGCAGATTTTTTCATGAATTGGCAGTTCAAGACGCAGCACTCCCTGTCCACAGGTAACAACTTCATTGTTTTCGTTAGGTCCTTGCAGATTGCATGTAACTTCTTCTAGTGGGTACGTTTCTCTGTGTGCTTCAATCTCCCCCATCTTTATCAGTTTTCCACATCCACTGGGGTACTTTTCCAAGGACTCCATGTTTTCCCGTTGTGGGCAGGTGTTGAGATGCCGAGGCAGTTTCGAGAGCTCATCTCTCCACCAACAGTTTTTACTCGAGCGATTGACGCAGTAGATTTTGAGTTGGTTGATATCTCGTTGCATTGACTGATCAAGGATGGACTGGTAGTTTTCCCTGCGACAGTGGGGACATCGCCTGGTGTAACTGCTCCTGTTGCACTGCTGGAGACAGGACTTGCAGTAGTGTTGGCCGCAGCAGTCGGTGAGCATTGGTTCTCGGAGAACATTCCGACACACCAGACAGTAGTACTTTGGATCTAGTGACTCGTTGACAAAGTCATACTCGTGGCCTCCGTATCCGCCTTCTGCCATGGTTGTAGCAGTACAACTTAGCACAGGGGTTTGTATATAGTGCAGTGATTTTTATAGAGCAGGACCCGAACAATGTTAGTGCTAAAAAGGAAGTCGGATTATAGTACACTATTGATGATCAACATTTCCTCTGTCACATGGGACGAGAGTCACCAGCAAGCATCGTGTGTTATGCATGTGTTTGTGTGGGACCACTACCATAGTACTACACTCCAATGTTCAGCATTTACTGTGACATTTTAACTGGATGTTTGGTCGTTTTCAAGTCAGGGTCAATTTTTACCACAGCATTTGCTACCTCAACCATCAGACTAGTATATGTGCGCATGCTAGTATTATGTATAGTGTATATTAGTGATACTCACATGCACAATATCGCATAGTTGACAGTAAACTTTCTAAAACACCTGTTCATGAATCAAAAATTGCTCACACAAATTGTCACATGATGATGGAATGATTGTCACATGACAGTCAGGTGATGAACAGGAGACCATGGTAGCTAGTTATCAGGTGGCTATTTCAGAGAAACAAGTGTTGCAGACTCTAACTGGTTTCTTGGAGGATGGCAGAATTGTGGAGTGAGAAGTGCAGGTCTGGCAGAAGATGTGGCTGGAGAGAGGGATGCTCCATTACTCACTGTGATGTGCCCTACTGCCTACCTATGTGGCCCATACACACCAAAGCACAAGCCACTAATATTATACCTTCATACTAAGCTCTTCTGATCAAGGGACCATGTTAAAAAAAAACACGTTTTCAACATTTTTGCAAATCATCCATTGAGTTGGTGGTCTGCTGGTTAGCGGCTATCTAGAGCACACAATGACAATGACAATAGTCTCTGGCCATCGCGCATGCAACTATCGTGGCAAAGGCACAAAAAGTGTGTGGTTTTCTGTGAAACTCACCCACAGCTCCGGCAGTGATGCTGTTCCATTTAGAGACCACCGCCAAATCGTCCAGACAGACAAAAAGAGTAGAAAGTGACAGTATTACAGATGAATGGTCTACGGATCTATACACCGACCTTTCTGACACTGACACTGAACTTCTTGCCACAGCCCGAGCAGGCAGTGGCGTCTCTATCACTCTCCCACTTCCTCTCACTGGCTCTAGCCTGCATCACCTACACACAACCACCACTATTAGGCCATGACCGATCTTCATCCACACATTCAACTATTTGCAAGTACCAGGCTTATCAGAGGGGCCATACAAGGCAAAGTGCTGTGGGTTCTAAACCCACCCAGGGCCACTTTTGGTGCTTTTGCCTTTTCTGTACAAGAAGGGTGTTTCCGTAAATAAACTTGGAGAAGAATCTTATCCCGCCATAGTAGTACACACACCATTACAAGCCTAAGCACAGAGTATGGTAAAAGCCAACAGTGTGGCAGACCTGGAGTGTCTGATGTTCTCTACCCAGTTCCTGGAGGGCTGCCTCCAACTGCTGGACCTGTTTCTGGAGACCAGCGTTCAGCTGATGAGCCTCACTTGTCCTCTCCTCCTCCCCCACTACCCTGTACCATAATATTATTATGACACACACATTCAGGCTTTTATCCTTGCACAAAGCATATAGAGCCATGGCAATAATGTCAGTTGTGCTGTGCATAAGAGTATATACTGTAGGTTTAACTTACTTTTCTAGCAATGCTCTGCGCTCGTCCTGAAGTGTTTTAATCTTGAGAGTAAGCTCTGCAAAAGGAGTCAGTTATGTATACTGTAGAGATAATATCAGCTAACATTGTAGCCTATTAGCAACTCTGGGGTTTTTGAATAAGACTCTTACAGTGTTGCATGCTTACCTTCCACACGAGTGTCCAGCATCTTCCCCCTCCTCTCCATCTCCTTCCCCCTCCTCTTCTCTCCCTCCAGCTGCTGTCTGACCGAGGCCAGGTTGCTCCCCAGAGCCGCCAGCTGGCTCTCTCCCCTATCCTTCTCCTCCCTCACCTCCCTCAGTGACTCCTCCTTCCCTGCCTGGGGAGCCAGGGGGAAGATAGAGGAGATAGAGGGTTAAAATAAAATAGTGACTTTCCAAAAGCAAAAGCAAACAGTACTTGGCTTTTTTCTACTTGGTAAGCTTCAGAGTTTGTTACCAACCAAATGTGGATAATCACAAATGGTGTCCGTTTTTTGTCAGACGGGCAATATACATTGAAATGAAAGAGAGAAGGAGCAGGATTCATGACTGACCAGGTCATTCTGGAGGGACAAAATGTCTTGACTCATTTCAGTCACCTTCTTCTCCAGCTCTCGTTTCATCTGCACCATCTCTGTTTCAATCTGTTACCAACAAACATGACCGATTTACACAAATTTAGAGACAAGCATCAAGTAGCTAGTGTGCATCATTGTGAGCGCATTAAAATAGATGCCCATTTTAATTCAGACACTCTAGAAGCATTTTTAAAGGAATTTGATAGCTACACGGGCTAAATTTAGAAAAAGAAATGGAAATTCATTCACTGGCCCCTGACATTTCTTTATGTTTCTTTAAAGGGAATGTGTCAGTACATATAAAGGGAATGTGTCGGTACATATAAGGGCTAGAAATGTTAATGTTACTAAAATGGCGCTAAACAAAAGTGCCCAGTGAAAGAATTTCCATTTTTAGTAACAGTATCTAAATTTAGCCCTTTTAAGTTGCCATTACGAGTGTGGACTTGCCTCTGCCTTTTCCTTTTGCACAGACGAGAGGCTGGTCTGGAGCTGGCTGACTTGTTGGTTGAGACCTTGTTCAGTTGTCTCCCTCCTCTCCCTCTCCTCCTCCCACTCCCTCTCCCTCCTCCCCGCCTCCTCCCTCGCTGATGACAGGGACACCTCCAATTCCCCTCTAATATCAACACACACATGTATATTATACAGTGTTTGCCTGTGTCTCTATATAGGCGAACATTGTGTACACATAGCAAGTTTGTTGTGTGATAATATATGTAAGACAAGACTTAGACTCACCTTTCTTTTACAAGTTCTTTCAAGTCTCTTTGAATGCTTGCAAGATTCTCCTGCAGAATCGCCTGCAGATGGCATGGAAATAACAAGAGTGGAAAAAGAGACAAACCAACTATCCTTAATACTTTGACTACAGTTGGAGTATGGAATGGTAACATCTACTACCTTGCTGCTCCTATCCCATCTCGCCCAAATTTCGCTGTTCCCCTATACAAAGGTGTCAACGATTTCGCATTTGTTGTAGGAACAAGAGTGGAAAAAGAGACAAACCAACTATCCTTAATACTTTGACTACAGTTGGAGTATGGAATGGTAACATCTACTATCTTGCTGCTCCTATCCCATCTCGCCCAAATTTCGCTGTCCCCCTATATAAAGGTGTCAACGATTTCGCATTTGTTGTAGGAACAAGAGTGGAAAAAGAGACAAACCAACTATCCTTAATACTTTGACTACAGTTGGAGTATGGAATGGTAACATCTGCTATCTCGCTGCTCCTATCCCATCTCGCCCAAATTTCGCTGTCCCCCTATATAAAGGTGTCAACGATTTCGCATTTGTTGTAGGAACAAGAGTGGAAAAAGAGACAAACCAACTATCCTTAATACTTTGACTACAGTTGGAGTATGGAATGGTAACATCTTCTATCTCGCTGCACCTATCCCTATCTCGCCCAAATTTCGCTGTCCCCCTATATAAAGGTGTCAACGATTTCGCATTTGTTGTAGGAACAAGAGTGGAAAAAGAGACAAACCAACTATCCTTAATACTTTGACTACAGTTGGAGTATGGAATGGTAACATCTCCTATCTTGCTGCACCTATCCCTATCTCGCCCAAATTTCGCTGTCCCCCTATATAAAGGTGTCAACGATTTCGCATTTGTTGTAGGAACAAGAGTGGAAAAAGAGACAAACCAACTATCCTTAATACTTTTGACTACAGTTGGAGTATGGAATGGTAACATCTGCTATCTCGCTGCTCCTACTCCTATCTCGCCCAAATTTCGCTGTCCCCCTATATAAAGGTGTCAACGATTTCGCATTTGTTGTAGGAACAAGAGTGGAAAAAGAGACAAACCAACTATCCTTAATACTTTTACTACAGTTGGAGTATGGAATGGTAACATCTACTATCTTGCTGCTCCTATCCCATCTCGCCCAAATTTCGCTGTCCCCCTATATAAAGGTGTCAACGATTTCGCATTTGTTGTAGGAACAAGAGTGGAAAAAGAGACAAACCAACTATCCTTAATACTTTTACTACAGTTGGAGTATGGAATGGTAACATCTACTACCTTGCTGCTCCTATTCCCATCTCGCCCAAATTTCGCTGTCCCCCTATACAAAGGTGTCAACGATTTCGCATTTGTTGTAGGAACAAGAGTGGAAAAAGAGACAAACCAACTATCCTTAATACTTTTACTACAGTTGGAGTATGGAATGGTAACATCTGCTATCTCGCTGCTCCTATTCCTATCTCGCCCAAATTTCGCTGTCCCCCTAATAGTCTGAAACAGCTTTCTTTGATAACACTCGGACTATATAATGCATTGGGGAAAACCGCACAAATTTCGAGAGGTGCCCATTAATGTGTTCTCACAAAACATTTGTGGGTTTAGATCAACAGTTGGTAAGCAATAATCCCATGCAATTTCCCTTATAACGTTTTAAACATTCACCATTATTAACCCTCGGCATGCATTACAGGTCTGGCAGTGCTGTGCAGTAATAGAATTCCTCTCACCTTCTCCTGAGACAGCTGTGAGCACTGCTGTTGACTGGTCTTCAGCTGCCCGTCCAGCTCCATGACCTGTGACCCCAGTGCACTCTTGACCCCTGCCAACTGGTCCCTCATGTCAACCAGTGACTCCTCAGCCGACGCCCTCTTCTGCTCCTCCTCGCGTATCTGGGACTCTGCCACATCCAACTGACGGTGAAGGTCCTACAGTATACATAACAACAGTGGGGAAAGATCAAGCATTAAAATAACAGTGGTATATACAAAAAGGTAAAACATCAAGTAAAACATAGCCAGTATGGCATTTTTCCAAACAGATACATAACACTCTTTTGTACTAGAGTGTTCGACAGTGGTCAGGTTGCATGTGTTAATAATAATGCCTCAGAAAACTCAGAATTAAGGACGATTTAAAGGTGTCCCTAATTCAGAGGTTTCACCTCAGTGATAGTTATGAGTGTGTTGAACTGACGTTGAAATCATTGCGAGCTCCTTCTAATTCCATCTCCAGAGCCTCAATCTTCTGCTTCTCCTCCTACACGACAAAACACACAGAACCATTAGGTGGATGGACCTGAACAGCAAAGTGTGGTATCAGACCTCTAGTGTCTGGTCTTTCTGCTCCAGCTTTGCCTCAAACTCTGCACTCATCTTCTCGTAGTCTTCCTGACATCTCTACACACACACAATTAAACTGTCACCGACTAAAATATAGGCAGTAGTCATGTGGTTGAACTACTGTAGGATCTCTTGCCTGTAGATTGTTCTGGACTGCCACTAACATCTCCTCCTTCAACTCCAACTGACTCTCTATTGAACTGGCATACTCCACCTGGACATACACAAGAACACAATTAAATCTCCATGACATTCTCACATCAGTTGATCTTCTCAATTTTGACAAGAAAAAAAACCAACACCTTTACATACAAAGTTTAAACTGCATTTAAATCCATATTACGAGTCACCGTGAGCATCGTGTACACAATTGCCTATAGCAAAGAATGACACATACAGTATGTAGCTACCTTCTGCTGCAGGTAGGTGGTGAGACTGGTGACCTCAGCCTCAAGTCTTGCTCTCTCACTGCCTTCAGTCTGTGGAGAAACGATAAAATAACAGAGTTTCTCTGACGTTGCTAATACCCTCAATGCACCTTTCAACTCACCTCCAATTTTTCCTCTAGTGACTTTACTTTATCCCTGAAGCCATTCAGCTGCAGATACAAATACGTAGGTAATACATGTTCACTTTGACATCTACTTAAATGTATGTATAGTGAGACATATTTTGTGTTGAAGTAATAATCATACCTCCTGGTGTAGTTTGGTTTCATTCTCTAGTTTTCCCTCCAACTGAGCTATGACTGTGTCGTGTTGAGCCACTTGCTCCTACAGGGAGGTTAATACACATTGAACAATAAAATTGTAATACAACTGAGCGTGGAGAAACTCCCAGCAAAATCTCACTCAAGGGGAAACCTAATACACGCGATTGTGGAGGCTTGCATATAAACATGTGCCAACAACGAGGTGGCGAGGTAGAAAGGCAAGGCAAACAAGTCAACTACACCCAGGGTGGATTCGAACCCACGACACTCTGCAGTCTAGGCGCGCGCTCTCGTGAATGTGGTGACATGTATCACCGGTAGTAGGGTTAACATTGTTCAGGAGGGGAGGGACGGCAAATTCACCAAGAGATGTATGCACCACCATATATAGTCACCTCAAGTGCCTTAGATTGGATCTGTAGCTCATTCTCTAGTGATGATATCTTGAGAAAAACAAGGAGATTTACTACACCGAAGAGACTAGAGTGTTAGTGTGTATGTACCTTTTCCTGAAGGGTGACATAATGGTCTCCCTCTCCTCCTCTCCTCTCTCCCTCCTCTCCTCTCCCTCCCTCACCTTTTCCTCCAGCTCACTCACCTCCCTCTCCCGACTCAACAGCTACACACACAAGAAATACACTATTAATGTCAGTTAGAGGACTCTTTGTTTTCCACACACGGGCTTGCAAGAAATGGAAATGCAAGAGTCGGTTCGTTAGTGCAGTATGTCAATTGTAAGATCAATTGTGGAACGTCACTTTTCCCTTTCCAATGGTATTAAAGATCGTTGATTTGTCTTGTCTTTCCATGCACCCACATAATTATATGCTTTAGAATCGCAAAAAACGTTGTTAGAGAGAGTAACATTCATTTTGACCTAACCATTCGCTCCCGCCCCTTTCATCCAATATAATGGTTTAACAATTCTCCAAGGTGAGTGTATCTTGCTAGCACATATAAATGGCAGAAAATAGTAGTTCGTGCACCATGCTTTTCATTCAGACACATCAGGTATACCTATACCAGGCAGAGAGGGCTATATCATTGCTACACACTATAAGGCTATATAGTACAGTGGGAAATATGTCTGTGTTGGCTAAGGCTCAGCTACTACACATCCTCCATTAGACCAGTACCATGGCCATACATACACTGGCCACAAACTAGGGGGGGATTAAAGGTCTCGTGAGATCAAAACAAACCTTTGGAATGATAAACACATTAAGCAAGGGACTATTATTCTAGTCTCTGCGGAGATCATTCGCTGTCCTGGCACCACCTGTGGTAAATCATTTTAATGTAGTATGCTGTGTGTACATTATAGTCATGAATGCATGGCGAAGGTTCTAGACATAGCGGGAATGGAGAGGCAATTTGTAATTGAGTGTGTGCAGTGTGGTGTATGAAGTGGATAGGAAGATCATTGGTCCTACTACAGTGACGTAATCATTGTTGATTCATAGCATCATTCCCACTGGAGGCCATGCCTATGATTACTCAATGTTCTATGTGTCAGGTTGTCTTGGTAAATTCCTTTACTCAGATTCATGGTTACAGTAACTACATAATATACAACCGCCCGTCAGTCCAGCGCAGTTTTTGCAGTTATATCTACAGTCTTTCATCCAAGTCATGTGGATCTACCTTGTAGTGACTTTGTTGCTGGCAACTGAAACGGTATGGATTATCTATAGAGCACTGAGTTTATCTGGCAGTTACACTTCCCTCCACTTACGTATGTAGGTTGCAAATAATGTGAATGAGAATCTGGCAAGTATTCCATATGAAACCATCCAGTTGCCAGCCCTTTATGGCTGTAAGAATGGTACAAAAATGTGCATATGGCCACCATGTCGCAGCGGTCCATATAACATCATAAATGTTCTTAAAGGCAATGGTACAAATTGGGTATTATTTGCTAGCATGGATTTAGAAGACCCAGCTTTACTTTTTGTGCACAAAGCGGTAAATGGCGCTATGATCTATTGCTCAAGCCATTACGATGAACCAAGAATTACATGTAGCACAGACGACACAGAAACGATTCAGCCCAATCTTCTCGTCAACAAGCAAAGGGGGGTGGTTGGGGGACAACGGCCAACTCTGAGGGGAGGAAATAAAGGGAAAAGGGGGCG